AACCTTCCCCAAGAACTCTGGGCAGACAGGTGAGTGCACATTCCCAGTTCCTGGGGCAGAAAGGCCCAGGACAGCCTGGCCAGCTCCTGTGCTGCTCAGCAAATGCCTTGCTGCCAACTCTTTTGTGCAGAGAAGACAGCCATGCTTTTATTTTTATTTGTTTATGTATTTATATTCATTAGGTACTGGGGATCAAACACAGGGCCTTCATGGTGAGCTGCATCCCCAGCCATTTTTCTTTTCTTTTGGTGTTTTGAGACAGGGTCTCACTATGTAGTTCAGGCTGGCCTTGAACTTGCTGTGTAGCCCAGGCTGGCCTCAACCTTGCAGCGATCCTCCTGTCTCAGGCTCTCAAGTGCTGGGATTACAGGCATGCACCACCACACCCAGCTATCCCCACTCCTTTTTTATTTTTTACTTTTGAGAGAGTTGCTAAATTACCCAGGCTGGACTTGACTTGTAATTCTGCTGCCTCATCCTCCCAGAGTGCTGGGATTATAGGCATGCTCCACTGTGTACAGCTCCACAAACCATGCTTTTAGAAAAGTGGAGGTAGCTGGGCATGGTGGTGCATGTCTATAATTCCAGCACTTGGGAGGCTGAGGCAGGAGGATTGCTGCAAGTTTGAGGCCAGCCTGGGCGACACAGTGAGTTTAGTCTGCCTGAACTTCATAGGGAGACCCTGCACCCACCCACACACACCCCTAAAAAAGGGGGGGGAGATCTGATCAAGGGTGCAGTGTTCAGAAGCAGCCACAGGACCTGGAACTGGGCAGAGGCACAGCACTCCGCCCCACTCCTGGTCTCCCTCCCCTGTGGTGCCCACCCACTGGCAGCTTCCCTGGGCTCACACCACTACTGGAGGAGGTACCTCCTTGGAGCTCACACTCTACTGGTCCGCCTGTTAGCCCAAGTGTGTGGTGCCCCCAGGCACTGGCAGAAAGTCCCACTTCTAGCCTTGGAGATTTCTTAGTTCTAGCCTAGCACTTTGGGCTTCAATACCTAAAAAAACCTAATGTTCCAGCATAGACTGCCACTCAGGGTGAAGCTTAGTGAAGGCAAGAACAAAAAGGGTGGCATGAGGCTGTGTCCCCGCCAGTGTTAGGAGACCTCTGTGGGCCCCTGTGTCATTTGGACTGGCTGGCTCTGCATCCCACGGAAGGTTGTGCGAAGACTGGTCACAGAAGCATCCTGCAGGCAACAAGCTGGGGGAGCCTGTGGACCTGCACGCAGGAACACCACCCTGGCTGGGCTCCACTGGGACACTGCAAGACGCAGACCCAGTGAGGGCAACAGTGAGGAACATAGGTGGTGCTGGAGCAGAGCCTGAGGCTCTCAGTTTCTTAAGGAATTGGTTTGAATGCTATCATAGCACTGTTTTTATGAGTTAGAAATGGTCAAACTGGCTGGGCGTGGTAGCACACGCCTGTAATCCCAGCACTCAGGAGGCTGACACAGGAGGATTGCTGGGAGTTTGAGGCCAGCCTGGGATATATAGTGAGTTCAAGGCCAGCCTGAACTACATAGTGAGACTCTGTCTCACAAAACAAAACAAAACAATCAAACTTAGGCACTCTCGTGAGGTTCCCCTTGTCATATCTTAGCTCCAGCAGGATACACAAGTCCAAAGCTAACAGTGGGAAGAAGTCCATGAGTTCTCACACCTGCTTAACTTTCTCCCGTCAAAGCACAGGACAGGCCCAAGCCCCTGAGGTGCCTTTGGGTCCCCACCCAGCCAATTCCCTCTCCCAACCAAGCTGGCTTCTATCACACAGGTCTGTGACATCCATCCAGCTATCAGCTGTGTCCCTTTTCCTCACTGTAGAGGAGCCAATGGTGTGTGGATGGTTCCTGCTGATGGACACCTGGGCTGTAAGGAAGCAAACTGCTGGAGGAAAGGGTCCAGGCTCTGGGCCCCTTGAGTATTCTCAGCTGTGAGAACCCATGCGGACCCACTGTATCCCAGGGAACACAGAGAGAGCAGGGCGAGTGAAGTGCCTCGGGCAGCCCTCCTGCCTTGAAGTCTAGGCTTATATGCTTCTCTCTGCCTTGTGCCCACCTCATAGCTTACCCTATTTCTCCTGCTGTAGTTTGGATCTAGAGTGTCCTTCAAAGGCCCATGTGTTGAAGGTATGGGCCCCAAACTATGGTGCTGTTGGGGGTAATGGAGCCTTTAGGAGATGAGGCCTGGTTGGAGGATACAGGGTCACTGGGATTGTGCCTTTGGAGGGGATGTTGGGATCACAGCTTTTCCTTTCTCCGCTTCCTCTGCCATGTGCAACCACCATGATATACTGTCACCATAGGCTCAAAGTACCAAGCAGTCATGGACTGCTCGAAAATTATGAGCCAAAATAAACCTGTCCTTGTTTTAAGTAAGTTTATCATCTCAGGTGTTTTTTTTTTACAGTAATGGAAAGCTAACACAACCCCAATCGATTGTACAAATACACCATTTACTAGTAGTCCCAGTGAACCCACCACAGGACAGGATTAGAAGTGGCCAGCCAGGAGATCCACAGGAAATACATTGATGTTGATGTTTTTAAAGTCATTGAGATGAGACTGTGAAATGATGCAGACATGATGGAAAACAGTCTAGCAGTTATTTCAAATGTCAAACGTGAGTCACCATGTGACCCAGAAATTCCACTCCTAGGCAAATAGATACCCAGAAGAAATGTGTCCACATAAAAACTGTAGACAAATGTTCACAGCAATATTATTTACAATAGACTAAAGGTGGAAACAAGCCAAGTTTCCATCAACTGATGAATGGATAAACAAGATGTAGTCCCTCCATACAATGGACTATTTTTAGCAATAAGAAGGAAAGAGGTATCACTATGGCTTGAAGGCCTTCCCAAAATGCACGGTGAAACTTAATCCCCATGGGAGGTATTAGGAGATGGAAATTTGATCCAACTATAGTGTTAGGAGGGGAACCTTGGGGAGGTGGTGCAGGTTAAATGGGGCCTGCAGTCCAAAGGGATTGTGACTTTGTAAGGAGAGGAGGAAAGATGTAAACCAGAATGTTCTCTCACCATGTGATGCTCTGCATCACCTTGGGTCTCTGCAGAGTCTTTGCCAGCAAGAAAGTTCTCACCAGATATGGCCACCTGCTATAGTTTGAATGTTGAATGTCCCCGAGAGGCTAGTGTTAAAGCCTGGCCCCAGGATGGTGCAATGAGAGGTATTAGAGCCTTTAAGAAGTGGAGCCATGTGGGAGGTCTTTAGGTCATTAAGGGTGTTCCCTTGAAAGGGGCCACTGGACCTTGACCTCTTCTCCATTCTGTTTCCTGGTGATGAGGTGAGATGCCTTCCATCTATGAAGTGCTGCCTTGCCAAAGGTCCAAAGCAACAGGACTGACTGATCATGGATAAGAACCTCTACGACTGTGAGCCAAGTAAACCTTTTGTCTTTATTAATAATCTCAGGTATTTTGCTATAGTGACAGAAGCCTGGCCACCCAACCTTGAACTTCTCAGCCTTCAGAGCCATGAGCCAAATAAACCTTTATTTATAAACTAATCTGTGATATTCTGTTATAGCAACAAAAATTCAGACTAAAACAAGGTCTGGGTGCCGGGGATTTAGCTCAGTGGTTTCACCACTTGCTGCGCAAGCACAAGGACCCGAGTTCGATCCCCAGTACCGAAAAAAAAAAAAACCCAAGGTCTGATACCTGACAGAACATGGCTGAACTTCGAAGACAATGCTGGGTTAGGGTGTGGCTCAGTGGGAGAGCACTTGCCTAGCATGTGCAAGGCCCTGGGTTCAATCTCCAGCGCTGAAAAGAAAACATTATGCTAAGTGAAGAACCATACACAAGAGGGCAAATACTGTACTGTGATTCTATTTCTATGAAATGTCCAGACCACAGATCCAGAGAGAGAAAGCAGAGCGGTCATTGGTCAACACTGGAGATTTTGGGGGTGACAGCGAAGGGGCAACAGGTGATGGAATATCCACCACATATATGGACATATGTGACTGTGGTGATGACTGTACAACCCTGGGGATAAACTAAAGGCCATCGCATTGTCCGTTCTGGGTAGATAACTTGTATATGAATTATATCTCAATCAGGATACTGGCTGAGATTCTATCCCAAGAACAACAGGGGGCTGCCAGGGTGTCCTCAACAATGTGGGGGTGGTGATGTCTTGGGGAGACACTCACAGTGCTGAGAGTGGGAGGCTGGATGGAGACTAAAGGAGCCAGGGCAGCCAGGCTGGCCCTGCTGGTTGTGGGGAGCTCAGGCTTCCTCCTCCTGCAGCCCATATAGTATGATGCTGACGGGCTAAAAATAAAGCCAGCCACGGAAAATGCTGGGCCTGACAGGGAGACAGGTGGAGCAGGCCCCAGGACACGGTGGCGACTCAGGGGTGAGCCTCTCTGGGAACCTCCTGGTGCCAAGCATCCCCTCAGGGGAGCAGGGAAGGAGGCCCAGAGAAGGCTCTGGTACTGGCAAAGGGCTGTTCCTGCTCCTGGCTCAGGCTGAGGGCACTCTGGTGCAGACCTCAGGGCTGCCTGCAGGGCACCTGGGATGGTGAGCACACAGGTGAGTGACAGCATGGCTCTGTGGTCTCAGCACCCTCTGTCCACCAAGAGGGAACCAGGAAAGGCAATGCACCAAAGAAGAGGCAATGCAGGGGGTGTCCTGGGAATGCTGGGCAGGGCCTGAGGACAGGTACATGGATACCAAACTACCTGGGAGTCAAACTGCGGCCACAGCCCAGTGAGTCACGTGACAAGGGACCCTTCCTCTTTGAGGCCTGGAGTGGAGATGCCTCCTGGCACTGGGAGGCCAGCCTGGTCCTGTAGCCCTCAAGGGACATCCTGCTTTGAGAGGGAAGGAGTGAGGTAAAGAGGGAGAGGAGGAGGAGGAGAGGTTTTCCCACCTAAGCCCTGCCCTGCTCTGGCTCTGTCCTCCCAGAGCCCCGAGCTTGCTTTCCCATGGAGACGAGGACAAGGATGGAGAGAACAGAGCGGGGACTGGAGTCAGGGTGCCTTTATTGTTGAGTAGGCACAGTGCGGGCAGCAGGGCGCAGCGGGCTCGGTGGCCACATGGCAGCATGTCCAGGACCCCCAAGGCAGTGGTTCCCAAGGCACTGGAGTGGCCCACGCCAGGAACAGGAGAGGAGCAATGGCCAGGTGCTGCTCTCCCCAGAGCAGGGCTGGGTCCTTGGGACAGGGCAGGCCAGCTAGGTCCCCTGCAGAGCCCCTGCAGCCCTGTCATCTTCTCCCATGGGACTTGGCGGCTTTTTGACGGTAGATCTCTGTGGTGAAGGGCCTGCAGGGTTGGAAGGGTGGTTCAGGCAGGTGGTTGGGATGCTGATTCCCACCCTGACACCAGAGCCCTGCCCAGGTCCTGCCCACCTGAGTACAGACTGTCCCTTCCCAGGGTAGATGAGACTCCAATCCCCCACTGTCCCCCAAAGCTGCTTGGAGCCTTCAGAGAGTGGGAGGGGCCAGGGTCACCTGCCTATCTGCTGGGTCTTGCAGGCCCCAGATGCCCCCACTCTGAGCTTCCTGACCTATGACCCACCCAGTGTGGCCCAGCCAGTAGCAGCCTGACCTTGAGAAAAGGTCAAGGGAGAGGTGTGGCTGGCCTGGCTGTCACACAGATATCCCCCACTACCACCCTACTCACTCCTCATACAGGATGGCCACCACGTAGACAAGGGCCACCACCACCGTCAGCAGCAGGCCCGTGGGACTGGCGTGCCTGCAGAGACAAGCCCAAGTCAGTTGGACCCAGCTCTTCCTGCCTCCACCGAGGACCCTCAGGCTGCCAATGGGCCACTGGATGGAATGGGCTGGACCAGGTTGTTCCACTTCTCAGTTCAGCTTTCTAGCAAGGACCAGGGCCCCTGTCTCCTGGTCTGCCTACCCAGCTTGCTGAGTTCCCCCAAGATGGGGCTGCTCCCTCCTTCCTCATCTTGGCCCCCAGCCAGGAACTGAGGACAGCAGGAGGGAATCAGGAAGGAGGGAGGAAAGAGAAAGGAGAGAAGGAGAAAGGAAAAGAGGGAGGAAGGAGGTGCTGCCACGTGAGTCCTGGCCCCTGCTTACAAGGGAGCCTCCACAGCCACCACCCCGGTAAGCTCTGGCTGTCGGCCTGGGGATTGGAGGGATGACAACAGTGTCACACCTGGGTCTGCTCAGCCACCTACGCATTGTGGGCTCCACGCACACCCTGGAGCCCCGGCCAGCGGACAGGAAGCCTGGGCAGACTGTTCTGCAGACCCAGGGCTGGACAGAATGTCTGTCTTGCGCTCTCTGCTGGTGACCAGCCTCTGACCTTGCTGTGCCAATGAGCACTGAGAGCTCATTAGAGACAGCACGAAGGAGCCTAAGCACATCTGCCTCAGGATTCCAGAAATAGCTACTGTCCACCCATCTATTTCTATAGTTACCTCTGATTCCACGGCTCCTGCAGGGCTGGGTTGCTGTGTCCAGATCAGCAAGCAGGAGAGAGGAGGGAGTCTCTGAGAGACACAGTGGGCAGCAGAGGCCAGGCTCCAGGGCCTCAGGTGACTCGGCTTTCCTTGGCCACCCCCACCACAGGCTCTGCAACCAGCTGCCTGTACCTACCAGACCACCACAAGACTGGTGCTCCCCTGCTCAAGATGTAAAGCTATCTGGGAACCACTGTGGCCAGGGACAGACAGCCTGCACAGCTTCTGTGAGGGGCAAGGCCTGGGCTAAACTTTCTGGAAACAACCTGGGCCTCTCCAGAAAAGCAGGTCCCAAGGGCTCTAGAGACCCCATCTTCACTGTCCCTTTACTCAGAGGGTTTTCACAGGCTTTGAATGTGGAACAGTGGAAGTAACTGGGGACTGGGGTTCAATCCTTCATCCCAGCAGACATGGCTCTCAGCGTCTGTCTCCTGGACTGTAAGAAGGGGGCCATAACCACGAGTACCCCATGGCAGTCACCTTTCCCTCCTGGCGGAAGAGGCACTTTGTCCCTAGCAAGGGCTCAGGGAGAAGCCTGGACCTCAGCTGTGGTCCTAGTCACACAGTGACCTTGAAGGGTGGTCCTGCTGGGGAACAGAACCCCAGACAGGCCCCTCTTGATCCCACAGTCCAATTCCTGTTCCTGAAAACATCGTCCACAAAAAAAGGCAAAACAAAGCACAGGGGCTGTGACGGGGGAGTGGGGTGGCAAGGAACCTGGGAACCAACTGTGTGTCTCTGTCCCAGATTGGCTGTGTGGTCTGGGCGAGCCCCCAGCCTGTTTCTCCACCTGTCATGAGAGAGAGACTGGACTGATTGGCCTTTACTTCCTTCCACAAGTTCAAAATGAAACAGACCTCTAGTAGCTAAGATGATCAGTGGTACGGCCCTAGCCAGTGCTTTTAGAAGGTCTTAAAAGCCTTCTTTTGCCCTGAGCCAAGATCCCAGGGAGGGCTGCAGAACCCCTGTGAGATGCTCCCAGGCAGCACAGCCCTAGCACCGTCCCCAGTCCTGGGGACAGAGAGCTGCGGAGCGGACAGGACCCTCCGGGCCTCACGCAGATCTCAGCCGACAGCACAGAGCACGTGACCACTTCCCCTAGGGCCAATGACCTTGAAGCCCCAGGCCCTGTGGGTCACGGCAAGCCCAGAGTCCTTCCCTGGGGTGTGGGGGAGGCTGTGATGTGCTAGAGGGGCAGTCCTGATGACAGCCCAAGGGGGAAGAGTACGGATGCTGAGAGTCCCCTTTTCATCTCCAGTAAACCTCCACCTGCTGTCACCATGGGTCTAGCTTGTCCCCCTAACAACCCAGTGTGGGGTGACGGTCCTGCTTCCTGGTGAGGAAACCAATCCCAGACTGAGCCTGCTTGCTGGAGGGTTGGGAGGTGGAAGCCTGCAGAGAACAGGGCCTGGGTATGTGTGTGCGCATGCATACACACGTGCATGTGTGCAACAACACAGAGACGGGCTGGGTATGTTGGAGAACCAGGAGGCTACCAGGAGGCCCTGGGTAAAGGAGGGCTGTTTCAGTTTGGACTCATCCTGGGGGCTCCAAGTAGAGATGCTCTGTGGAGTGGGCAAGGTGGGGAGCTCACTGTCTGCCCCTCATGGGTCCATTGTGGCTGGGCTAAAGGCAGGTGGGAGGGAGAGTCCACAGCTAAGGCTGCAGGGTCAGGGACGATCTGGTCTGAACACGGTGGGGGCCAGGGCAGGTCCCAGCCAGACCCCTAAGCCCTCTCTAGTTTACTGTCACTCAAACCCCACCAGCTGTGACCCCAGGGCTGTGGTGAGTGGTCCCTGCAGCTGGGGGAGAGGGCACGGGGGGATTCAGCGGAACAGCTTGCTCTTGACATCCCACCATTTGAGATCCAATCTTTTGGGGTCCCAGGGCCTCTCTGATCTCTGGGACTATCTGTAACTCTAGCCAAGTGGCTCCCAATGCCTCCTTCATCACAGGCTCTCTGATCCCTGGGGTTATGTTTCCACATCCTAGTCACATCTATACCTGGTAGGGCAGCCAGCAGCCCAGGGGACCACCCTTCACTGCCTGGGGTCTCCCCTCTGCCAGGGGAGGACATCTGGCCTCCTGTGCCCAGACCAGTTCCTTTGGGAACACTTGGTGACTCAGGGGCTATGGTGGGCCAGACTCCCCTGGGCTCCCTGGTGTATGGGGCCAGCAGACCCCGGAGGCCTTTCTCAGTCCTAATGTGCTAGCTCAGGGCTTACCAAACTCCAGCCCACAGACTGAAAATGCTTTTTACATTTTTAAATAGTTAAAAATGAGAATCCCAAGAATATTTCATGACACATCCACGTCCATAAATGGAGCCATGTGGCCCATACCTTGCCATCCATTTCCCTACGTCTCTGCACTGGGCACAGCTGAGTGACTGTGACCTGTCGGGAAACTCAAGCCTCAGCTCTCTGACCCTTTATGAGAAAGCTTTCCAAGCTGTGATCTGGGAGGTTGTTTTGTTATCACAGATAAGAAACTTGTGGGCAAGAAAGGTCCTCATAAAAGACCTTATTCTCTTTCCACTGGTCTAGCTCCTCCTTTGGTCCTCCTGGGCTGTCCCCTCCCTCGGGGCAGTCAGCAAGACAGCCATGGCACCTGGTACTCACATGAGGCCCCAGCCCAGGTAGTTGGCTGTGCTTCCCCAGTACATGGGGTTGTCCATGACGCTGAAGGGAAATGTGGTCACTCTGGCCTCCTTGAGGATCCCAAAGTAATCACCTGTGGACAAGGAAGGGCAGGAGGGGAGGTCACTCAGCAAATTGTTGCTCTAGTCACCCATAACTGAGGGAGGACCCTGGAATGGGCTTTGGCAGGGCTGCAGGTAAGAGAAGTCCCTGACCTCCAGGAGCTGCTAACCCACAGGGAGCCAGCTGGACAGCACATGGGGTCAAAGGACCACCACAAGCTCACAGACACCCCAGAGGGCATGGGTCCCCAGGCTGGTGAGCCCCCAAGCCTGTACCATTACCTGCTCTGCTCTTCCAGCCCTGCCCTCCAGCCATCCTGGCCTTTCCCTTATTGCTGTCTCTATGCCTTTGCACATGCTGTTCCCGCGCCTAAGATAGCTCCTTTCCCTCTGCTCACATCACCTTCTTTGGAGCCAGGTCTGGACTCCCTCTCCAGAAACAGGATGCCCCATTCTTCCCTTCTCCTCACCCCTGGCCAGTTGCTCAGCTCTGCCTTGGGCTGCTGTGGCTATGGCTCCAGGCCTGCCCACAACATGCCTCTCATGTCTCAGTGGGGTCAGCCCTGGTAGTGGACCATCAGTCAGCCAGCTACCTGGACACCTACCACCCAGGAACAAGTTTTCTTCACAGCCACTCTAAGCAGGAAGAAGCAATGGTGGGATCAAAGATACAAAGTGCCTGGCAGAGGCCCCTGCATGGTGACTGTCACCACTGGGCCAGGTATAGCTGCTCAGTAAAGGATGCTACTGCACCCTTTTGGGCTCCTCTCCCCAGACATCCCTCCTTTGTCTCCCATCATGCCAGAGGACAATGCAGCTTCATCCTGGGCAGAAAGTAGGGCAGCCAGCCTGACGATGGGAAGCCATTGGCAGGAAGGACCTGGTGTGCAATGCATCACCCATTGTTGGGGACAGAGGGCCTGTGGAGCTGTCCAGAGAGGCTCTTTCTTTGAAGGAAGCAGGAAATGGGGTAGTGGGGCCTGGAGGCGGGTGGCACAGAAACCTGCTTCAGGCTGACTCACAGGGAAGTGACTGCCTTTCCCTACATTGAAAGCCTGCTGGTTCCTTGGGTGTTTCTAGGCCATGTCCACTGGGGAGGACATCCCAGGGCTGTGGCTGCCCTCACCTGCCTGATCCAGCCCTGGCTGACCATGGCACCCCGGGCTGTTCTCTCCCAGCCCACTCAAGGTACACCAGCCCCCTGTGACCATACCCCTAGCCCTGCACACCAAGGGCTGGTCCCTCTGTTCTTCCAGAGGAAAGTACTGTGTCTCCTCCCCAAGCAGCCCAGCCTTTCCTCATCCACAGGTCCTGGAGAAGTCCCTTCCTGTCACTCCTTGTCCCCCAGCTCTGCAAGGAGGACCAAATGGTCCAAGCGGTCCTACTGGTGCCTGCTGTTCATTCCTGGGACCCCCTCCATGACTTCCATCTTTCTGGGAAGGAAGCCTCAGTCCCATGTGTGACCTTCAGGGCCTCTGCCTGACCTCCCAACCCTGCCCTACCACTTCCCTGCGCAGCCACAGTCACTGCCACCTCACTTGATAGGCCTCCCTGCTCCCTGCATGCACCTGCCAGCTCCAGGACTTTGCCCTGCTCTTCCCAGGTCCCTCTTCCAGGATGACTTCCTACAGCTTCTGCCTGAGCAAAAAGCCATGACCTACACTAACACCCCAGTGCTGCAGGTGCCGTGGTCCCAGCAGGCCCCACCACAAGTGATCTAGGAGGCCAAACTCAAAGGTCACTCGCTCCCTCAGGGCATCATCAGTCCTGAGCACACAATCCTGGAGAGCAGAGTATCCTGCTGGGAGCCCAAGCTCTCTATGCACAGGGACACTGGGCAAACTGGCCAGGCTCTGTAGAGCACTACTGGTTCCTGGAGGAGGCTGAGGCCTGGAGAGTTGCCAGGTCTGTATCTGACTGAGGGCAGAGAGGGGAGGACCAGGCCTTCCAGCCCCCAGCTGCACCTTGGCAGCTGCGCGAACTCTTGGGTGCAGCCTGTACAGTGGGACGGGTTCTCTTTGTGGATGGGGCTGCCACCTTCATTCGGTCCTTGCTCCCAAGCACTCCTTGCCCTCCAGCCCCGCTTTTGGTGTCCCCCTCAGCTGCTTTTCCTCCTAAACTCCCAAGGCCTGGAAGCTGCAGCTATCCTGTGGGAGGCAGCCTCTGACCAGGGCAACACTGGGCTCCCAGTCCAGAAGAACCAGAGCCATGGTCAGGTCTGTGGGAAGGGGGAAGGGACCAGGTCCCTCCACCCCCTGCTGTGCCCCACAATGGAGCAGGGTGATGGCTGGGTCTCCTTTGCTTCCCAGGGACATCAACTGATTGCGAGTGGTGGCTACTGTGCCCCACTTCTCCTTGGACTGTCTTACCTAGGAAGGTTCCAGTGAAGCCCAGTGCAAAGAAACTGGAAAGCACAAACACGGTGCCCACACCCAGGAGTGCAAGGCCCAGGCCGTAGGTGGTAGGGTTATCCAGGCCCTCCATCTTGGGCTGGCTCAGCATGGCCTGTGTGAAGCTGCAGACAGGGGACAGGGAGAGAGCATGTCACCACATTGGGGCAAGTGCCTGAGACTGCAGTGGGCCTAGGGCTCACACACTCAAAGCCTTCTGAAGCAGCTCCAGGTGGAGCCCAAGCCACCTGGAAGGCACTGCCCAATGCTCACTGACACTGGGGTGGGGACAGGAACAGAGCCCCAGGCCTGACAGAGTTTTGGTTTTCAAAAGAAGCCAGAAATCCATGGTGGTGCACACCTGTCAATCTTAGCACTTTGAGAGGCTAAGGCAGGATTGCGAACTGAAGCCCAGCCGGGACAACGTAGTGAGACCTTGTCTCAAAAAAGGTCTGGGGATGTAGCTCAGTGCAAAGACCCTGGGTTCAGCAGTTCAATACTTAGTACCACAAAAGACAGAGAAAGAAGGGGGAAGAAGACAGACAGACAGAGAGACACAGAGACAGAGAGAGACAGAGACAGAGACAGAGAGAGACAGAGACAGAGAGAGACAGAGACAGAGACACAGAGACACAGACAGAGACACAGACAGACAGACAGACAGACAGACAGACAGACACAGAGGAAATCCTGACCTGCCTGTGGAACACCCTATTTATTAGGAGTAGGCCAATCATGTACACCATTTGGGACTGCACTAATGCAGGCTGGGTGCAACCCAAGAGCCACCAGTGTGCAAACTCTGATCCCGTCCAGTGAGCAACTTGAGCTCTGGAGGAAAGTGAGGCTCAGAGAAGGTGCATGTGCAGAGCAGGTTACACAGCAAGTCTTGGCACCTAATGTCCCGCACCTTCCACTATCCCAGTAGACTCAGAGCCTGAGGCTGGGGGCTGGGGGAAGTATCTGCACTGTTGATTGGCCCCACAGCCCCTACACAGGCCAGGCCATACCTGGGCAGCTGACCTGAGTTTTAAGCCCTTTCCATGTCCTCCTTTACCCACCAAGTGCCCCCATTAGGTTCCCTTTGGGACCAAGGCATTTAAAACCTTGCTCTGAGGTGGGGGGTTGACTGGAAGGGGTAACTATAGGGCTCATCAGTGAGTGGAGGTGCAACCTTTCCAATGGTCCCCTGCTGGAAGGCCTGGAGCAGGTAGAATGGAGAATGCAAAGGGCTCTGGGCCTCATTAGGAGGGAGTGAGCACTGGTGAGAGGAAGGCAGTGGACCCACCCGAGGGAAAGGATGTGTGTGGGGGCAAGCAATGCATGTACCAAACACACACTTCCCATTCTCTCCACCATTAAGGCACTTGCAGGAGACGTGGTGGTCTGCTGCTCACACAGAGCAACTGCTCCTACTCTGTACCAGGTACTTCCCAGCAAAAGCAGCTCATTGACCACCCCCCAATCCACTCACTCATCTATCCATTCACTCACCCATCTATACATCCATTTATCCACCCCACATCTACTGATCTACCCCCATCCTTCTGGACGATCCACCCATTCACCTATCCATCCATCCACTTACCCACATCTACCAGCCAGCCAGCCACTCACCCACCCACTTATCCATCCACCTACCCATCCATTCACATGCATGCATGCATCCATCCATACACCCATCTACCCACTTCCCCATCCACCCTATTCATTCACCTGAATTAATCTATCCATGTGCCCACTCAGCCATCTACCCACCCACCCATCCATCTACCTAACCACTCATCTACCCACCAATCTACACACTTACCTTTCAATGCATCCACCCATACACCATCGATCTATCCACCCACCCACACATCTACCCATCTGCAAATTTTTCCATCTATCAGAGTATATTCATTTGCCAGCCTCTTTTAGTAGAATGATTCCACCACCTTCATTCTCTTACTGGCCTTGATATAGGAGACAGGGCATGGCAAAGCTGGCTGGGGAAATGAGCAGGACCAGTCAATTATAAAACAGAAGCCAGGACATTTTAGGGCTGGGGATTTAGCTCAGCGGTGCCGCTGCCTGCCTCGCAAGTGCAAGGTCCAGAGTTCAATCTCCGGTACCAAAAAAAAAAAAAGAACCTAGGACAGCACCAAACAATTCTCAGGACCCCGTATGTGGAACTTCTTACAGGCTCCCACAAGATGTGTATGGCATAAAAGAAGACTAGATGCCATGGAGAGCTCACTATTGTGACTTCCCATGATAGCCTATCTTGTGTTTCTTGGCTGCAGCATGTACTTTTATTTTTGGTTTTATCTTCTTTTTCTCGTTCTGCCCAAGTTTACTCTGCAGAGCTGGTTTCTCCCATATCCACTCACCTCTCACTTTTCAAATAAACTTTCGGCACCATTTTTGGCTTGTCTTGTCTAATTGTTTGTTTAAGGCAGGAAGGACTTGAATTTTTTGATTGATGAGCCATTTCTAAAGAAACTACCGGATAAGAGCCTGGTTCAGGTTGTGGTTCACTATCCTCACGTGGCACTAAACACTGCCACCCAGAACTTTTCCCTTCAACTAGACTTTCATCTCATGGGAACCAGGCTGCTTCTCTTTCTCTGTGTATCTCCTTGGCACCCAGCACAGGCCAGCAGATGGGCCAGAGGGTAAGGGAGGCCTGGGAAGAAGCACTGTGGCAGAGGCCTGCAGGTGACCTGTCACCAGTGGTGCATATGTGTCAGGGCAAACCTAGCTGCCGGTCATGCTGCCACACCTCCAGCTTTCCACCCACCACCACCCTCCTCATCCTCCTGCTGCCTGGCTCAGGGTCACCCTACACCTCCAGATGGAGCTGCCAGCTTTGGTTCAGGGTCATGCTGCCATGGAGCCAGGCAGGCATCACTCATACTCTGTGTTGTGAGAGAGGGCCATACTGCGCCCTCTAGGCAGCCCTAGGACTCTACAGACCCAGCTGCTGAGGACATCAAGCTTGTTACCCCCAGCCTGGGTAGCCTCCCACACTCCCCTGTGTGCAGGCACCGGAGCGTTGTGGGTGGTGGTGAGAAAGGCAAGCCCAGGCAAGGCAGGGCTGCCCAGGGAACAGAATGTTTGTGTGTGGGCTGATTGGGGAAGGGGTACTCTTACGGGCTAGGACACTGCCTCACCGGCAGGCGTAGGCCACTTGCTATGAGTTCTCCAGGGTCACCAGTGGCTGCAAAAGAGCTGCAGGGTCCTAGGGGAAGGGTGGAATGGGGCTGCATAGACCTGAGTTTCCAGTCTCAGTCTTCTTCTCTGAGATGTGATGGTGACCCCTCCCCTACCTCCTTGCACAAGGCTGCTGTGAGTGGCTACACGCACACACTGAGCAGTCCACAGCTCTGGGGCTTGTAGACAGTGGGAAGGAAAGGAGCAAACCAAGGCAGACACTATGAGAAGCTCTGGGAGGAAACATGGGGGCTACAGTGAGGAAAGGAGGCCTCGGTGATCTGAGAGAAGGGGAAAGGAAGACCATTCCAGAAAGAGGATGGGCCTGCCAAGGCTGGGTGCCTTGAGGCTGCGGAAGAGGGGAAGACAGTGGAACCTGGAACAGGCTCTAGGTGCACATAGTGAGGAGCACAGTCAGGGAGCCCGGTCAGGCTGTGTAGACGACAGGTGAGCACTGGGGGCAAGCCAGAACCCTGGAGGCTAGAGGGTCACTCTGGAGGGAGACCTGGCTCAGGGCTGCTAAGCCTCAGTTTTATGCTCTGTGCCAAGCTATCTGCAGTTTCCTCTGCCAGAGAATTCATCTGCACTGCACACCAGGCAGTAAGGACATGGCTGTACCCGAACCTCTCAGTACATTTCCTGGCTCAGTTTGGAAGAAAAATTATCTTCCTAGAAGCAGCAGGTTTGGGGCCAGGTCTGGCTGCCCCAGTCTGCCCAGGGCCTGCTGAAAGTTACCAGCCTGTGGCTCCATCCTGGACTGGCTGGCAGGGAGGGATTAGAGGTCCCTCCAAACAGCAGGGTGAAGCTGGGCTCCCCACGAAGTACATGAAGGGTCATTTGCTCTAAGAGCCTGCAAAAAGTCCATAGGGGCTTCTTCCTGGCGGTCCAACCTGAGCCACCAGCCACAAACACTCTGTGACAAAAGTGGCTGGCTTACAGGAATCAATGCCCAATTAGGCGGCAGGCGTTCCAGCTCCTGCAGTGAGCCAGGAAAGCACAGTCTATTCCACTCAAGAATTAGTGGAGGGACAAAAAGCACTATGGCCATGCACTGCACAGCACAGTGAGGTAAGAGGAGTAATTTCCTTTGGAAATATTCTGCACTTGGTGGGGGTGAATGGAGACTCATGCGTGTGCCTCGGGTTCTATTTTTAAAACTTGGATTGAGCTTTCAGTCACCAATGTGACCTGGGGCTGCCTGTCCCCTGCTCCAATGAGATCCCGGAAACCTGGTGGGGAGGCTGAGGGTGGAGGGTCTCGTGAGCCTAGAAGGAAGCCCCGAACCAGGCCACAGACACATGGCCAAGCAGTGCCCACAGCATCCACTTCCTTGACTTCATCCCTTAAGTGTGTCCCCATGGTGCTATCTGTGCCCCATGTAGCACAAGCTGCCACTCATTTCTGATTCCTCCTTATCTCCTGCTTAGGTGAACTTGCTCTTCACACTTCAACTCAGACTAGGCAAGACCATTTGTGAAATTAGGCATCTGAGGGGCTTGTTCTCCTAATACAATTAAAATGAACAAGTACTAAGACAGTAACAAAAAAGTTATACCACCTTTTCAAAGTGTCTTCAAAACTCAACAACAACCCAGAGAGTGTGCTCCATGTTACAAATAAGGGAACAGAGAGGTTCGGGTGGGCGGGGCAGAAGCACAGGCTGGTGGAAGCTTCTGCTTCCTCAGGGCCTGGAACAGAGAGGTCCTCCTCCCTGTAAGTGACAGGCAACGTGTAGGTCTGGGAATCCCAGGCTAGAACACCTCTTCAGGGCCCCAGGGTGAGAAGGTAGCCTCTAGTGGTGTAGAGGGCTGTTCTTCCTACCATCCTGGCTGCAGAAGCTGGTCCACCTGGCCCCTGGGCCTGGCCTCACCCTGGCTCTCCCTCTTCACTTCCCCAAGATCCCAGAGGCCTGACCCATATTCCCTTTCCA